GGCTCCCGGAGTGGTGTATGCGCCCGTGGACGCATCATTGATCCAATCTCTGGGGAGGACGGGCTCCTGAGCCTATGTGTCTCGCTGGACATAAATGGTATAGATGTATTCGAAGGAAGCCTAATGGGCCTCGGACTGAGGATGGGCTTCGGCTGAACTGGGGAGGCTGGAGGCCCATGAGCGATTTCCCTGGCATCGCGCTGATGGAACACGGAACGCAGAGGAGCAGCAACCGGAGCAGGAGTAGTAGTCCGGTTTTCAGTGAAAGGATCGATGTCTAGCTGACGCTGCTTCTTCATGGGCCATCCTCGCACTGCGTTCTCGCCGCCGAAGGGGCCCCAAATTTGTCGACTTCCGGTCGCAGCAGCCCCACGCAAAGGCTTTTGAGGAGTAGTAGATGCTGAGCCCCTCGTGTGTGTAATCCTGAATCGAGCCATAGATTAGGATCTTAAGATTTAATCCTAGAGGAAGGGATCCATATGGGTGGGACGAAATGAACGCGGGAGATAGTACAACCTAGCATATATAACCTCCTTGCTGCGGCAGTGATGAGCTCGGCTGTTGAATTGGCGTCGCCCGATGACATTTATCGGCATGCCGGGGAACCGACTTGCTAGGGGAATCGCGATCGTTTCGGTCTCCGCATGCTCGATACCAGTTTGTCCAGCCATTCAGAATTACTTGTCCACTAACTCGGGTAAAGTGGGCCTCAACCAGAAGGGGCACGAGGCCAAAAATCAGATCGTCGCATCCCGGGAAGACATTGGGACAATTTTGGAAAGGATAGTTCGCATGAATCGCTCACATGTCAGCTATATCCGCCCTAGGTCCATTCCGAGGCAGTTCCAGTGGCTGAGCATGTCGCAGCCTACTTGCACTGCTTTGCATTGCATAAATGTCTGTGGTAGGGCTAGCGCCAAGGCGTCGATGATATACGAGGATTGGAACGTTTGTCGGCGAGTTTACATTGCAACAAATGGCATTCGATAGGGAGCTGCGACATACTTAGCTGCTCTTCGGACGCTTTGAAGTGATGAGAGAAAGAGCCAAGCGTGTGTTAATTCTAAAGCGCCGGAACGCTGAAGCGCTGAAGTCCAAAGCGGTAAAAGCGGTGAGAGTACTAATATTACATGATAACACAAAGAGCTTAAAACAGTTTCGGAGCACTTTCTATGGGCTATTGAAAAGGTATATGGCATTGGCGAGACCATAGCGACTTGAGATAGAGGTCTACATGAAGTAGACTTCCGCACAACAGTTACTCAGTCTTAAACTAGTTGCGCACCCCATAAAAACCAAGCTGCAAGGGACACCCCAATCAATATGTATAGCAGATGGCTGGCCACATAGCCCACATGTATAATCGCTAAGTTTGACTTCACTGCCGAGTGCAGCTGCACTCCGTCTACGTATATGATGAGATCCAACGCTAGAATGAATTATACTTTACTTTCTTCTACTTCGCTGATGGCCAGCATCAACAAAACATCCTGTGACTTCTGAATTTATGCCGTCAACTTCGAGACGCTTGAACCCTTCTATAGCCGAGCTTTGAACTGAAGAACAAGACTCGAAAGCGTGTGCGTCGCAATGGTTGTTCACTCGCTTCGTACTCTTGACCTCTCTGCCAGTGCAGTCAGCACCTGGGATTAGACTATCTGTCGACTCCGCCTGCATAGTCTGGAGATTGAGATCAGCTCTGTCGAATTGTAGCCTGGCTAGAGAAGAAGGCTGCTAATTCGTCGGGGCCGGAGGCAGGAAGCAGAGAGTAGACCGTGTTGCTCACAAGGTACGAGACGGTTAGTTGGTGTAACTACTGTCCGGACTATCGCACCCTAGCCATGGACTCGCAGACTGATGGACCTCATTCTGAGCGACGCGGCGCCCACCACTGGTTGCCGTTGATGTCCTAGAGGACGATTGACGCTGCATGCGAAGCTCTATCGAGTCGAGCATTTCTATCAATCCAGGAGCGAGCATTTTTGGGTGTAAGTTGTCCAAGATAACGGATATTGGCGAACCACAAAGGGAGAGATCGAGGTTGGTCGATCGAGCGCGATGTACTCGTCCAACTGAGGTGACTGGGTGTCGAGATTCTCTCCGCGAGATCGTCCGATTCAGAGGCTCCTCGTGCTGTCTAACGTACGACAGACCGCCGCCGTACCATTTGTGGAAGTCGTTGAGAGGTTTAAAAGTGGTGCAGCGAAGAACAACAGCGTTTATCAGTTTGATTGAACGGTCGATTTACAGAACACTACAAGAAGCACAATATAGGCGAAACTCCTCATCAGTCCGTCTCGAAGCAACTCAGGCAAATAACTGGAAAAAGCAACAGGATCACGTTGTGGGATTTGATACTAAGATACAGAGGAGTATGGTCTGGAGCCGGAGGCCCTAGGAATGGAATGCCCAGTCAATGAGCAGGAAGCTTGGCAATAGCGGTGTCGAGAGCTGCTAAGACTGCTGTGTGAGTAAGTGGTTCAGGTACGTCCCCTTCCCCTTCTTCCTCCTCTTCCGGTGCATCTTCATCAAGCTGAAGTATACTGCTCCTCGTAAAACGTTTTTGTAACTGTCTCAGCAGATCCCTGACCGGGCGACTGAATACTTTCGGATATTCGCGTACGAACCCCCACTGGGTACGGGATGATCGAAACGTCATGATGTTCATCGGCGTCGTACGACCGAAACACATCACGAACTCGTTCTTAAACCCTTCTGGGATGTTGTCCGGCGGATGTTCAATGAGCCTTCTCATGAGAGCGTAGATGAGGACCCAAATGAAGGACTCGACGTCGTGCTGCGGCAGGTGTTCGACCTGACTCGTTCTTCGCCGCGCCAGCGCCTCCAGTAAATCTACCGCCATGAATTGCAAGGTGCCCTACAGGAAAGAGTCAGAGTTACGCATCATCATGCGAGTGGCGCATCTTACTGTCATGGGAGCACCACGTTTAATTGAGCTCGGTTGACCGAAGTCTATGTGCATAATTTTGACGTCCTTGAGCATCTGGCCATTGGGAGTACGCACAAGTGGTATTGTTCTCCTCTGGACGTCTGGACCAGTGTGACGAGCGAATTCTAGATCCATCAAGAATCCCTCCGCTCCTGGCTGGGGATCCTCGTCGGAGGACAGCATGATATTTCCGATACTAATGTCTCTATGTAGAATGCCTTGATCGCAGAGAAATTTGTGTCCTAGAAATCGAAATGACTGAGGAACTTGGCGCTATCGCATGGAAGACGCACCTTGTAAAGCGGCCCGCAGGCCTTTAAGTAGCTCAAGCTCGCTGCGAGCGCTATACAACGAGCGGCCCACTGGATATATGAGCACGCGATGCAAGACGGCGTGCTGATCAGATTCCTGTATCGGGATTCCCCCGTTCCTGAGCGTAGCTGTGCTGATGACGGCATCTTGTCCAGGAAACTTCACGTCGCCCCCTCGGTCAAACCGGGCGACGCCAGGATGCCAACCCTGGATTTGTTCATAGACGGTGGACTCTGGAGACCGCGCCCCGTTCCGCCAAGCATTCTTGAGGACCCTTAGAAGGAGCGTTTGCTTGTTACGGACCCTCCACACCAGTGTGCCCCGTCCGAACATCGATAACGAGATCCAAATCGGCCTTCCGGCCGTAATCCAATGTTCGCTGTCCAGATGACTTGTTGCGCCTCCTAGAGATATCTCATATACGGGATCGTTCAATGCATAATCATCAGTCGAGAGACCGTTCAATTGTAACTTGTCTAGCCATGCGCCACGCTCTTGAGGAGCCAGGCATCGAACAGTCGGATCCTGGCCTAGCTGCTGAGGAGTCATATTGGCCGTAATACACCGCACAACGCGGACGAAGATATCGAAATCGCCCCACATGTTATAGCTATGTGAATAGCGCACTCCGACGCGATCGTAGATGCCAACGCTGAATTCGTCGCCGTAGATAAGTAGACCGACAGAGAAGAGTTGGAATGGGTAGCCAGAGAGGTGGAGACGAGCGTAGTCAGCAGTTTGACATGTTATAGGCTTCGGATCGGCCATCGGGTCGACTTGGTGAGGTCGATCTCCCGACAATCCTTTGATCTCGCACCAACTGAATCTGTCTCTCCAGAGGTTACTAGGTTGGTCAAAGAGCTCCGCGAGGACCGCCGAGAAGTCGGGCTTGTTCTTAGGATACATCCACGAGTCGTTGGGCTCAATGACCAATTGTAGGCCGCTGGATTGAAAGAAACGTAATCGCGATTGGCGTCCGACTCCATCTTTCAGAAGCTCGAGGAAGCGGAATATTAGGGCCTGTCAATCAATACGTTAACGTGAGTATCTCCTTGTAGACTTCATCGTGTAGGACGTACCAAGCGCGGATACATCTCTTGCTCTCGACTCTGTGGCCCCTGTGTAAGAACCTGCAATTCCGCCCGTGCTTGCACAAGTGCAGGGGTGGCCTCAAATAGTTCAACAGCACGCTTGACGAAAGCGTCTTCAATCGCGTCCACGCCAAGATGCTGGAAAACGGAAGAGTCATCGAACACGATGTTGCCCCGAAGTTCCGACTTGAGAGTATTGCGACTAGCTTCGGTGTGGCCGCTGCGACTGACTTCAAACCCAAGAGAGCTCCCACTAGCCATCGGACTGTGGTCTTGAGAGGCAGAGTGGAATTCGCGTATTCTTATACCATGTCTGACTTTCAAGTCAAGGAACAAAAGAGCGGACTTATTGAGACTACAGACACCGAGCAGCACTTGTGGTCGGAAGTATTATTAACACGCCGCGACGGGGAGATTGTGCTAACGCCCTAGACCATCAGTGCGTTACAATCACATGAGCATTGTTTCTCACCGATAATGACCCCCTTCAAATCTAACTCGTAAGTGCCCCAGAGGAATGAGAAATGCACAACGTGTGGTGGTGGTTGTGGCTGAAGAACAACCGGATTCGTGACGCAGCCGAAAGTGGTAATTATGACCCGTGGGATGCCCCGTTTCAGCTTCACGATGCTACTGGCAGAAACATTGGCCGACTGGCGAAATGGCATCGCGTCTGACTACGATCGCTCGTGATCCATAACAGCTAATCAGGAGATTGCAGGTTCGACCCCTGCGTCGGTCATTCCAAGTCCCACCCATCCTTCTTTTTACTTGGTTCGCAAGAACACGCACACCGCAACCTCTTTTCTTCCTTCTCCCGGTCAGCGCTCGAACATTGGCGACTGGTCCAACCATGGCGGGTCCGAGGGAGCATATGCAATGTAGACGTGGGATCTATCATAAATACAGCATCTAGCACGGTATCACCCGCCCTATCTACTTCCCTCACCCTCCGCTCCCGCCTGGTATTCCGCTAAAAATGTCCGGTACAGATCCTCACACCGCTGCAGCAGCGCACGCCCCTCTCCCTCCCGTTTCGCGCTCTCACGCGTTTCCGCGACGCCCAGGCGCTCGTAGCCCCACCGGTCCGTCTGCGAGCCGTACTTCGGCATCGCATGGTGATCTTGCGCTGCGAGGGTGTTCGGGAGAGGGGGAGCGGAGAGTGCGGCCTGCACAGCGGCGAGCGCGGCGTGGTATGCGGAGAAGAGGACGTGCGGGGAGCCCAGGAGGCGCACCTGTAGGGGCGGTCAGGAGGGCGAAGGGTGAGGGGTGAGCGGGACGTACGATGTAGAAGAGCAGGACCATGAAGAACCGCCCGAAGGGAATTTGGTCGAGCAGCAGCGCGGCGAAGTTCGTCGGCGTGATACCGGGCTCGACGAGGTAGTGCAGGACTTCGCCTTCTGCCTCCTCTTCGCTGGCCGCGCCCTGATGTGCGCGATCGTTCCCATCCACGACTGCATTGCCATTACCGTTCGCATTACGGGTATACTTTTGGTGAGCAAGCGCGCGGCTGGAGAGCTCGAGCGCGATGATGTCGTTCTGGTACTTGGACGACTCGTATGCGAGGTCGGTGTCCGTGAGTTGCCAGTCATCCTTCTCGTAGACGGGACTTGCGTGGATGGACGACATCCATATCACGCGTGCCGGGCCCGGGCTCGGCTCTGAACCTGTCCGCGAATACGCTGCCAGGAGGGGTTGCACCGTCCGGAACTAGAGTTCACAACCGTCAGAGTTGGGAGCAAGCAGGGGCTTGAGAGCGGCGGCACTCACTAACACGTAGTGTCCAAAGACATTGCACTGCCACGTCCACCCGAGTCCGTCCTTGCTCCGCACGCCCCTGGTCTGTATGTTGTAGCACGGGTGCTCGACCGAGGATATCGGCGCAGTTGCAAGCTGCTTGAAGAACCGCGCCCAACCGAGGTGGCTGAATGCTGCGACGCCCGCATTGCAGATGAGGTGCGAAATGTATGGGTATCTGCGCGTGCACCGCTGTAAGCACAGCGAGCTCGGCAGCCAATGCAGGGAAAGCACAATCAGACGCACCTTTGAGCGAGCTCCGTCCCAAACTCGAGCACACTCCGTATGAGGCTCAGGTCGAGGTACATCACCTCCACCTCCACGTTCTCCCGGAACGCGCGCGCGTGCACGCCGTCTGCGGACCGAGCGTCCAATTTCGCGATGTGCGCGTCCAGCAGCGCGAGCAGCTGGCCCCGGGCACGCTCTGCGCGTTTGCGGTCGCGGCATGCCATGATAACCGTCGCTCCCGTCGACGCAGCAGGCTCATACTTGAGATTCGGAGAGTCCGAATGAGTGATGTGTGCATCTGGGGAAGAAAGGCGGGGTGATGCGTCTGGCGGGTTGCGCTGTGCGAGCTGGACCAACAGGCGGTGACATATTCCGAAGCCGACTCCCCTGTAGTCGCCCAAACGTCGAAATGTTTCTCATTCAATGTCTGAAATGTCTGAAAGAGGGAGCATCTGAGACCGACGTACCCGTTCGCACCGGTCACAACGATGATGGGTCGACGCTGCATGCTCGTGCACAACGTTGACCGTTCGACCTTGGATCACAGATGGGTACAGAACGGATTAGACTGGTGCGGACGTTGAGAAAAACAACCAGGGCTGCGGGGAGGGAGGGTACGCCAGCCGCGCACTTGCACCGAAGGCTTCCCACCATCGTCGCTGGCAAAAGGTCATACGATTTACCGCTCGCGTGCGGCACTTCGTCGTGAGCGCTCGTTTCTCAGCACCGACGACTCTAACGACGATCTGACTCTGCTATTCGCCTTTCTCTACCATTGCCCAGCTTATTACGGCCTTGCTACAGTTATGTACGCACTGAAATCGGAATATGATTCTTCCCGCGATGTGTCGTCCTAGCTATGACAGATGCCCAATGGACTGTCAGCGCTCCGAGTCGAGGTCATATTGTCGTGCATCAATAATTCTCAGGCAGCAGGGGTGCTAAAATAGTGTTACAGAAGAGGATCTCTGCTTTTTCATCTAAACTCGTGCTTGTGCCATGGCTTCCATACTGCTAGCATGTTTCTGCTCAGCGCTCAGGCCCCGGTGTGGTGTCTGGCTTGGTACATTTGGCACCATGCCACTGGTCTGGACCGCCCTAGAACTGTGCCTAACGAAAGGGGTCTGTCATACGGAGACCAAGTGTCTTTTCGCGGGTCTCCTTTCAGTGCCTCAGCCACGGTGGCTACGCGTTCGTGTAGTCCTTGGCCCTTAATAGGCTTGACATGATAGACGAATTGACACAGTTCTGGCAGTTCTGGCTTGTGATCTACTGGTCAATTATCCTGTCGTAACCATGTCCGTCGCATTGAGGTACCTACTTCGACATTCCACCTCATACTTATTGGGTCCGTGCAGTTCGGCTTCTTAATGCATCCGCACGAAGACTAGCACCGAGGCAATAACTCACAGGCGTCCGAAAACCATGCTAGGCCGAACCAGGCACCATATGCAGCACATAATCCATTACAGCTTGTCAACCTGTTGAACCACTACATATATCAGCGCAACCACCTGTTTTCGTCACGGAAATGATTGCCTCCCTCTTCTCGGTCAACAATGATCGCGGAGCAGGTCCTGACCTGAACAAGACGCAGACTGTCAGTTATGGCGACGGTAAGCCGCAGCAGTTGGCGGCCACGGGTAGCTGTTGACTGGTTGACTATATCTGCTAGTGGCGGCCGTAGTAATGCTGACATGGGACATCATAGTTACAATGTCGGACGAGGTAAGTTCGGCATCCTAGCTTTTCTTCGTCTGACTAGGTCTGACTACATGATCCTTCCTCGTGCAGGTTGAGCACATATGGGTGTGAGTTGTTATATGGTCATGTCTAGACAAGCCGGGTCTGTCTAACTAACCATCAGGAAACGTTGGACAGCAGTAAAAGTCATGTACTTGGTCTCGCGCTACTTTCCATGGACATTTCAGCTGTAAGTATGAGTCGAATCTCGGGGGGTCAATCGTCGGGAACACTACAGCTGCACAGGGCACTCCTTACTTTGAGTTCAAATGGGAGCACCGGTGCCTTCTTCACAGCGGAACAGTGCTCAAAATGGGTGGCAATGCAAGCGATGATGCTACAGACCATCGTCACTGTTGTTGATATTATTTTAATCATTCGCGGTACGTCTCCCCTCGAATTCACGGTGCCACCTGTCTCGAAACTCATCAACGATAAACTACAGTTTACGCGCTGTATAACAAAAGTCGGATGCTTCTCACATGTATCGTAATCCTCTTCGCTGCAGAAGTGACCGTACTCTGCTACGTTCTCGCGGAAGTTGTTCCGAAGCTCCGCTACAACTCTACATGCTTCGTTATCTCCAGCCCGCGTCTGTTCATAGTATATTGGTGCGGACTTCCGTCTGGCTTGCTTTCTAACTGAAGGTTGTCCCTGTATCAGGATCACATCGTTGGTATTTGAAAGTATACTATTCCTTCTGGTTCTAGGACACTTCCTTCTGGCGGTAGTTCACGGCTGGAGTCAAGGACGAACTGTCCAACAATTCATTTCGGATGGGACATGGGCTTATGCTGTCATTTTCGGTACGTCCTTCTTCCTACCTAAGGTCTGTCAATATTCTCATATACGTCTCGAATAGCCACAATGCTTGTGAATGCGATATTTTACGACTATGTGCACTCGCCACTAGCAGGGTTTTACTTCACGTGGGTGTCCGCCCTCATGTCTACAACAGAATGCTGATAGTTGAACAGATGGCTTCTTTCCGTGCTATCGTTCGCAGTAAGTAGTCACATCCTGAGCACGCTGCCACCTAACAGTCGAATTAGGGCTCGCGTCTCATCCTCAACCCTCGGAGACATGACGCCTGCGGCCACAGGATGCCGTCCACGGCAAATGATGTGGATATTGGTGACGTTTCTGCCTTGTGCTCCGACTGCACATGAAGCCCACATTTTACGAGCCATCGGCACGCATCGCCGGACCCAACCCATTTCCATCTCATTGTTGATGATGATTGGCATGGTCAGGGCAGGTCGTCAAGGGTCGCCAATTGTACTTGCCTGACGCCCCAGTTTTGCAACATCCCATATCATTAAGAGTCCTCTTGTCTTACTTCGACGAGCAGACCGCAGCACCCTTACCCTACACATTCCACGAGTATCACCCTCATGAGTGAGGGGCTGCCATCGGGAGCGCGGAAAGATCCTCGGGTACCCGGCTGTTATAATGACATGTAGCAAGTATGCCGCCAGAACACACACGAGATTTCACATTGCAAGGCATGTAATGCTCTAGGAGTGATCAATTTCACTACTTAATGATCCTTCGGCCATGAGTTATCAGGAAGATCTGAAGAATTTTTCGAGCAGCTTACCCCTCCGAGTCGTTGATGTCGTGAGCGGAGATTCTTTGGCAGGGAGTAAGCCACCGTGTCTATCGGACATGGCGTTGCATACCTATGAGCGGGAGCTACCGCAGATCTAATTATGACCGCAATCCCCGCTGCGAATAGCAGTGGGTCTTAGAAGTGATCGATGTCACAGATCGTCTGCCAAATTTGCAAGATCCCAGTTTTCCACGCTCTGCTTTGTGCCTGTCTGCGCGCCCTTACTGTTAGTGGAGCTCTCCTCCTGCCTGAGCCCAGCCTTCTCCTGCTCCTATTGTGCTCTGCATGCATTGCTGCTCCTCGCCCGCATCGTTGGTTCCTCTCTACCATGACAGACTGCATCGCGTTGACTTCGCTTCTTG